CCCCCCCCCCACCTGGGTGGTCCGCGAGTTCTTGCCCGAGGTCGCGAACACCACGGTGCCCCGCTTGTTGGACTGGGTGACGGGGTCGTCCTGCATGACCGCGCCCCTGTACTTGGCCTGCACGGCCGGGTCGCCGTTGATGCCGAACTGCGCCACGAATCCCTTGAGCACCCGGAAGAAACGGCAGTCCTCGAAGAAGCCCGCCTTCGACAGGAGGGTGAAGCGCGCCGCGCCGAGAGGAGCCCAGTCTGCACGTTGCACACCGCATCGTTGTAGATCAAGAAACATACATCCCGCTCGCTCGCTGCAAAGACTGTCACACATCCCCTTCGACTACTGCTGTGATATTGTCCACACATCCCCTTCGACTGATGCTGTGGTATGATCTCGAACGAATCGTCTATCTTTGATAGAATGTACTCCCATGTAAGAACAGCTACTCATATGTGTTGGCTGGTCACTAGCGGTGGGGATTTTTCGGGTGCTCTTTCGGCTTCTGTTTCCAGGAATCTGTTCGCCTTTCTAGAATATTTCGTCTTCTCCGCAGCTGCTGTAACATCCTTTCCGCCACGGTAGCACGTAGAACAGCGAAGAACACGCTGATCAGGTATATCGCAGTTTGAAAAACAGATCCGGTCGTACCCTTCAAATCAAATAAAAAGAACAGAGCACAGAGACGTGCAAAGAAGGCGCTGTTTAATAGGACAACAGTTGCCGATGTTCCGTGGGTGGGCAGGCACGCGCCCACGCACGCGCGCATCCTCTCCACTCGAGAAGCAATCTAAACGTCTGAAACCGCTGAGTGAAAGCGGGTATACCATTCAATGTAAGAGGTGAGGTGCCGTTCTGACTCCAACAACATCTGGTGCAGGTGCAGGTGCTGTCGCCATCTACCCGTCGCTCTCATTCCATTCCTTTTCAACAAACACCTTGTGGTTCTCTGCTACTACTCTACGCTCTTGCCGAGTTCACGTCTTGCCGCTGCTGCTGCCGCTGCTGCTGCTGTTATACTGCTCGGGTCTTAGCTGTATGCTCATTGTGGGTTAAATACCTCCTTGGCTCTCGCGCCTCGAGAGGCCCAGACAAACGCTGTGATAGCTAACCGGCACCAACGACCCGTACCCCACAACAGAAGTTGCTCGAACTCGTTCAACTGAACATGGAACCACGTTGCTGTGTGAACATAGAACTGACGGGCGTGGTGCAGAAAGGCTAGGTGCAGATTTGGACATCCTTCCCCAGAACCTCAACAGATTTCTTTGGGCTTTAAGGACTGCCGTGTACGTACGTCAGCGTCAAACACCATATCAAGAATCAAGAGTACACACGTCAGTATCGTGCGTGAAAAGCTGCAGACACATGTCATTTCCAGCAGTCGAGTCACGTCGTGGCCGTGTCAGAAGAAGTGCATGCAGACCGTGCAGATTGCTGAGCCTCAGGTCGGGACCGACGTTGGCATTGCGGCATGCGGGGTGTCAATCAAGAAAAATCCAGAAAATGTGTAGACAACGCTTCCTTTTTCAATCAATAAGCATGAGGCAATACGACACCACGGTTGGCCGGTTTTACGCAAGATCATCAGGACACTGGTGTTGTTGGAGTTAGCTCTCTGGGTGTAGCGAGTCTCAGGTGTAGAGGAGCCGAGATGGTTGAGCTCTAGGCGCGAAAGTTGGATGCCCTCAAGAGATCTGCGTGTGGCCGAAAACAGACAAATTGTTCGCGGGGTGTTCTTGCAGCCAATTCCTACAGAAGGATCTATATTTCGAATGCAAAGCTCGCCGAGCTCCCAAAAATGGCGCCAACCCTTTTGGAAGTAGGCTCTCGATATGTGCATAAATTACAACATATATTTACTCTGTTTGCTTTTTTCATGTTCTTGCATCCCTCCTTGCCGCGGTGCCCTCATTGCTCCACTCCGGCGGAGGCCTCGAATTTTCTGAGATTTAGGGTCAAAGAGCCGCTGCGCCAAGATCAATCACCCTTGATATGCGAGAAAAAAAAACATACACTTCCGTTTCGGTTCCTCGAGTCACTTCCTTCAGAAGATATGCAGGGCCTTTGAAGGAGGGTCTTCGCCCGCGTGCTGATGCTGCAGCGAAGCTACACAAAGTTGTTGACGAAGAAGCTGGTGTTTCCTGTGTGTGCCCGTAGACTGCAATGAAGCTACATTTGATGAGGAGGCTGGTGTTTCTGGTGTGGGCACGTAGGCCGCAATAAAGATACATCTGTTGACGATTAAGCTGGTCCCCACGTAAACTGCAACGAAGCTACTTTTGTGTTGACGGGGAAAAGCCGGTGTTCGCCGCTGCTGTGCGCACGGACCACACACCTGGGCGCACTTCCACCACGAAAGAACCCGACTCCTCATCGGACAGCTGGACGTCGAACTTGACGTAGCTGGGCTTGCTCCCCAATGCTTCCTCGGCCAGGGCGGGAGCCACCGCCACGTTCCTCGCGGTCTCCGCCGCCACGGCAGCCACGCCGTCCGCGCTGTCGCTCCCCACGATGAACGGTGCCGCCACTGCCAGGCCCGTGAGAGAGGCGGCTGCGCACGCCGCCTTCGCTATGAATCGCCCCCTTGGTTGTGTTCCTCCGTTCCCGCCTGCAGCGCGGGCGAGGGGGGGGGGCATGGACCTTGATGTCACATTGCAGCTACGGTATTATTCTCGAAGACTTGAGTTGTTCCGCCATTACTGCGTTGTCATGTGCACGTGGATAGCAGCAGCGCAAAGGGGATTCAAAAACGATCATTATCCTACATACGTCCTGCACGTATTTACAAAATCAAGCCATGTTCACACGCAACATCTCGATACCCTCGTAGGTGACGTAAGATACTACAGTAAATAACCTCCTGGACCAATTTTCGATGCTCGATTGTACTCAACGACGAAGCGGATGCATAAATGCAATGATACACACATTTTCGGAAAGCTCTCGATGAGACAGCTCCCACGCCAACGGGACCGCAACTCTTGCTGGTGTTAAGAACTCGAGCTCTGAAAATCGGTCCAAGGGGTGTGATATCTTACGTCATCTACGGTAACTGCCTACCCCACCACGGCGGTCCTGAATTGCGGTAATCTTCCTATGGGGGGCAACAGCGGTGGGAATAGACAAGACGCCAAGTTTACGTTGAAGACTAGATTTCTTTGGTTGTCTCCCACAGATTGCGGCAACGGTAATTGGTGCTACTGCTGAGGTACCAGGTTGACACCGCATGCCTTGAAGGTAGCACATGTTTCCGCGTTCTCCGTTTATCTATGCTATTCACCTGACATGGTGGGTACTTTTGCGTTGTAGCCATCCACGATGACGAGACACAGAGAGAGGCCAGCTAGTACTCGCATCGGCGCCATCATCGTGTTTTGGGTGTAGGCGTTCACAGCAGCAGGCCAGCAGGCTGGCTGGCGGACTGGTGGGTCCGTACTACAACTAGGGGCTCCGTGAAAGGGAACGGGAGGAGTACTTACCCAATCACGTCACCCAAAGTCGATACATACCGCCGTGGCATGCACCTTAGCTAGTGTGGTGCACCTCGACCACATGCACCACTCCTTTACGGAATGTCGTTGCTGGCACTGCGCCCAAGCCATCGGGGCGTGCGGCTGCACACTTTCGAGCCAGAGGACCGAGGGTACACCTCCACGCCGACTAAAATCGGAGGCCACTGTCTTGATCATGTGCGGAACGGGTTCACCGTGATACAGCAACTCAGGAACAAAAGCTCGGCGTCCGTGCTAACCTGCAGCAGCGGCAGCAGCAGGAATGGGCAAGGCCAACAGGCCAGCAGCAGAGACAGTGGCGACGGAGAGCATGAGCCAGCAGCGATGGAAGGGAGGCCCGCGGCGGCGTTTTCGACGACCCTTGATACCAGCATGGGAAGGTTTGGTGGTCTCTCTGCCGGGTTGGTGCTGAGGCTCGGTGCTGCCGACTTCGCGCCGCCCCGCCACCGGCTGTACCCAACGCTTGCAGAGTTCCCGCCGGACACGCTGGCGCTGAGAAGGGACGCAAGCGGTGGGTTTTCCTGCCAGCAGCAACAGCAGCAGCAGCAGCAGCAGCGGCGGCGGCAGCAGCGGCAGGCTTACGATGATTCCAAATGGCACGCCGGCGAAAGCGACGAAGGTGAACCGCCTGCTTCGACGATTGCGCCGCCCCACAACGGGAGAGCCAGCTCGCCCGCAGCGGCGGCGGACGATGCGAGAGAAGAGATCAGAGCGGTGCCCTACCGCGACATGGCAACGACCGTCGCGGCGGGGCACAGCGGCGCCCTCGTGGCGATCCTGCTTTCCAGGCTCGCCGCCGTCAACCCTGGCGATGGGTACACGGGTGACACGCCTGCCGCCGCCGCTGCTGCTGCCGGTGGTCTCGTTAGAGACAACAGCAGGGTTGACCTTGGCGTGGCACAGCCGGGGTCGACGACAGCATTGATCGCGACCGACGAGGTGCCCCGCCGACCGCCTGCCGACAGCGCCGCTCGCGAGCACGGCGGCGGCGGCGGCGGCAGCGGCGGCGGCAGCGGCGGCGGCAGCTGGGCGTGGAAGGCGCGGGTCGACCCCCTGCCTGTCTCCTCTAGGCTCAAGAGGTACGACTTCGTGCGCGAGCTGGGCAGCGGCAGCCACGGCACCCTCCTTCTCGTGCGGAAACGGCCCCTCTCCGCTGCCGCCATAAGCGGTAGTGGCGGCGCTCTGGGCGCCAACAGCAGTCACGCCGGCGCTGGTGGGAGGAGGGGTAGAGGTGGGACCGGCGGTAGAGGTCTCAACTACGGTAGCGTCGGCAGCAGCGGCGGTACGTGTAGCTTTCAACCGGTAGGAAGCCTGCGGGTTCTGAAGGAGAGCCATTTTTTGCCGGAGGCAGTCAACGAAGCGCGATTGCTGTTGCTTGCTGGTGGAGGAGGAGGAGGAGGAGGAGGAGGAGAAGGAGGAGGAGGAGCCGCTTGTGCCACTGGCAGCGGTTTTGGCTATGAGCGACAGATGGCAGGTGGTAGTGGTGATGCGGGAGGTCCCGAGACCTACGGCGGTAGTGTTGACGACGTCGTGGTAACCACCACCGCAGCCAGGGACGGTGGAGCGAGGGAAAACCGTCAACGGGGGGAGGTGGTGAAGGTGAGCATCGTCGTATGTGGCTGCTGCTGCCGTTGGCTTTATCTTGCATCTGATTTCTTTGTGCACCCTTTCGCTATCGGGTGAGACAAGGTGCAAGAGTCTTTGATGCGTTCTGACGACCGCCGTTGGCCGCCAACGTACTTCTGGTTCATGCTTGCGAAACGCAGCCTGGGCCGGCGAAAACCCGGCATATCGCTCCGTCCCGGCGATATAGGGATGAGAGGCCAATATGGTCAACCGACTACGCAAAAGTTTATATGTATGAGTACATCCACCCCCCCCCGCCGCCGAAAGCACCCGCCGTACTCCTGCCCGGCTTTGTATGGATTCGAGGCCAATGGTCTAACCACCACAGCTATGAGTTCACCCCCCTTTCCCCTCCCACCCTGCATCCGGCCCCGCCTTAACGCAACCCCTAACGCGCACCGCCCCCATCCCCCCCAAAACATAAAACAGCTGCACGACTTCTTCGTTGAGACCGTCGGCCACCGATCGCTGGCCTTCCTGGAGCTGGAGTACTGCGAGGGCGGGGACCTCGCGAGTCTCATCCTCGGGAACCGAGCGGGGGGGGGTAGCACAGCAGGAGCGGAAAACTCCGCTTCGACGGCCACGCCAACCGCGACGGCAGCACCAGCAGTTGGGGGAGCGCTAAGAGATTTTGCCTATCGGTCCCCGGCGCAACCGCTGGAAGGGTTGGCCATGACGGTGGCGCGGGAAGAGGGTACCGGCGGCGGCGGCGGCGGCGGCAACGCGGGAGACTTTCTAAGTGGCGGCAGAAGAAGTCTTGATGCAGGCGGCGGCCGCTTCGATGATCAGCGGCGGAGCTCTAGTGGTGCGGCGGCGGTGGCGGCCGTGGGGCAAGACGCGAGGGCGCCATTGGCTGGGCTCCCGGCCGCGCGGATAGTCAGGGTAGCGCTCGGGCTTTGCGAGGGGCTGCAGCGCCTCCACGAGGTGCGCGGAATGAATCACGGAAGGCGAAAATTTTTGGCAAGAAACGTTCTGCACAAGCTCAATTCCATTTTGTAGCAGTCCGAGCTGCTCTCTTTTTTCTGAAGGGGGGTGAAGGGGAACTCGCATCAAGTGCTGGCAACAGCATGTCCTGCAAAACGGTGCTCAGCAGTAAGTAGACGCCGTCTCCGAGGTACACATGGATTCGCCTGTTGGTGGGGTACGGCAGAGGGCGGTATCTTTGGCAGCGGCGGGGTGTCTGCCCCGTGCGTGAATCGAGAGGCCGTGGGGGGGGGGGGGGGGGGG